TTTTTGTGACATCTGAGTTGACTACATAAAGCAGTGGTGGTATTCAGCCGGTTCACGCCGGATCAGGTGAACCAGTAGCAATAATATGGTGTGGGTCACCGAACCGGTAGTAAGTTCTGGCTGGCCACACCCCCAACCCGGTCGCCCTCCTGCCCGATGCTTGCTCACCCTGCCTGCCTGCCTGACATTTGCCTAAGGTATTTCTTTTTTTTCCCTCCCAACAATCAGCCGTAGATAAGATCAGCTGTGCTGGGATTCCCCTTGCTGAGGCCCAGGAAGGCAAAAAATGGAGGGAGGAGCTCAGGCCCCCCCCCTCCAATTTTTGCCTTCCAGAGGCGCCTTAGGGGAGCAAAAACGCCCCCCCCCAAGGCTTCTCTGATGCTAGGAAGCTCCCAAAACAGAGCTTGGAAGGGTGCTACGTGCCCCTCCCATGCTCTGTTCCTTTTCTTCCAGAGCCTCAGAGGAGCCTTAGGGGAGCAAAAATGACCCCCCCAGAGGCTCCTCTGTGGCTAAGAAGCTCCCAAAAACAGGTGGGGGCTACACAAAAAGCCACACCCACCCAGTCACATGGCCACACCCACCAAGCCACGCCCACAGAACCGGTAGTAAAAGACATAAAGAGAAGACAGAGATTTCCTTGTATTTCTTTTCTGTTGGCTAGTGGGGATATCTTTGTATATTGTATGTGTTTTCTTTTTAATCAAAGAATCTATCAAGGTTATCAAAAATATATAGATTATATAAGTGTTATCAAGAAAATCATTAATTTACATATTTTCCTAGGTTGAATACACAAATAAAAATAATAAAATAAAATAATTAACATCACATATATACTACTTTTGTCTTTCCTCTAGATTCACTTATTATTCTGCAAAATACGCTTCACTTTGGTTTTGTGGAGTTTCTTTCTACCTTTTCTGTTGCTCATGTTACTCCTGATGGAGCATAATATCAGACTACCCAATCAATACTGTAATTCTGCGGAAATTATGTCTTGATCCCTGGAGACAAAAAAAAGAAAACTTTTGCACCACATGGAATACTTTTGCTGGAAGAAACACAAATTTCTTCTTTCCACCCTCTCTTCAGATTTCACAGAAAGTTTGCTGCACAACTGAAAACTGTTCAGAGTCCCTCAGAAAATGAGAGACTGGAAGGGAGGGAAAAACAAAGAAGAGAGAGGCTACAAGTGTGTTGTTTCAAGGTCCAAGGACAATAATAATAATAATCAGAGGTTTTCTGAGGATATTATCTTTGCAACAGGATAGTTCTGGTTGTTCCACAGGAGTTTTGAATGTGTGTTCTTTGAATAAAGAAAAGGGTAGTCAGGACATTGTCATCTCAATAACTTTTGCTCTGTCTAGAGTCCATCCTGTGCAGTAAGAGCATAATGGAGAACAGTGATATTGAACATGAAATCATTGAGTTAAGGGAACACGGGACAATTATTAATGGATATGAGCCAGTTTGGTGTAATGGTAAAGGTGATGGTCTAGAAACAAAGAAATGTGAGTTCTGGTCCTGCCTTAGGCATGAAAGCTGGCTTGGTGACTGGGCCAATCATTCTCTCTTAACCTCAAAGGATGGTAGTTGTGGGGAAAATAGGAAAGGATGGAGTTTTATGTAAATTCAGTGTCTTGAGTTCAGTAACAAATTACCAAATGCACATATAATAATAAAAAACAAGAAATGTTTGAAAAGCTTTTGAATGCTAGTTTCCTTTGTAAAGAACTTCCACAGTCTCTTGTACGTTTTCCCTACATCATGTTTGGTTTCCCCAAAGGGCAATTTCATTTAGTTTATTAGCCATGTCTATCGTTTTCAATAAACTATTGTTTTTACTAGAAATGGAAATCTTCAGTTTGTGTTGGAGACTGGGTTGCTCTTTTTTTCCGTCTGGCTTGCTATGGCTTTACAAAAGCTGGGAACATTTTCAGGAACTAAAGTATCAGTTGCATTTATTTGAAATGGTGAGAATCTACTCCAAAGTCATGCTCATTAATGAATGACATGTACTTGGTTTGGTTTGCTCTTACTTGCTTAGCAAACCACGTAGCTAGCCCTTCAAAGGAACACAGGTGTGACAGCTGTCTAGTCTTCTGACTTTAACATAGACCCAAAAACTAGTTAGGCGATGTGCCACTGATGCATAACGCAGAGAAGAGATGGCTGCTTATAGTTTACTATGGTAGATAGGAAACATTTCTGCAGCCATCACAAATGGATGTGATGTGGAAGCTGAAGGACCCATGGATAACAATAATAGTTGTATGCAACTTTTCTAAACTTGGTCCCAGTGTCTATTAGAAATAGCTTGGCATTCACTTTCCAGCTGTCAGTCTCTTATCAATTGAACAAGATGCCTGTCTACTTTAGTTGCCCTTTGGGAATTTCTTCACCCCTTGTGATAGTACCATTTAATTATACATATAGCAGCAGGCATTTGGCTTCAAAATTAATAGCTTTGCTACAGTTACACAGTGGCATAGTAGGTTTTTAACTATATATTCATAAAAATATGATGATAGCTGGGGCACAGGAGAATTAATGACATGCTAGCAACGTCTTTGCATACATAATCCTGCATGCTGCATTTGAAAGAACAGTATTTTTTTAAAAAAGCAAATCTAAGGCAAAATATCTGTTTCTACAACATTTGACTCTAGATAATGATTGAAAAAATTGAAGCCTAAGTCTAAAAAGCTTATCTCAAAAACTCACCTAGATTTTAACACTTTCCAAGTGTTATGATTAGTACAATAATCAGATTTATCTCCCCCCAAAAATGAATTTAGGTGAATTTTTTAATCTTCCAGAGAATTCAGCATTTAACCTGGTGATCAAGCTCTGCTTCTATTGCTGTTCTCTGCCAGCCCTGGCACGAGATAGTGATTAACTTGTCTTCATGGCCCCATATTAACCATATCTGAAATATTCTGCATGATTAAACCTATTAGATGCAATGCTTCTAACATTCTCATGGTCAGTTTCTGTTTGCTTTCTTGTACCCCCAAAGAAGTTAATGAGATTACTTACAGAGATAGAGTCATTAGCTAATGCAAGATTTAGGGGTGCAAATGCAGAAATTAGAAGTCGGCAGAAGGATTTAAATGGTAAAAATCCAAGCCACTTGGGAAAAAGGAAATTATTTGCTTAGTTTGAGGATAGTTTCCTTTCCGTCTTTTTTTTTTAAGGGGGAATATTCATAATTATGTATTAGTTGTTTCTATAAATGAAAGTTTACAGTAGTTGGAAACATATGTGGAATAAAGATTATTAAGGGCATGAGAAGAAGCTCAAGATCAGGAAAGAAGGTCTGGGGATCAGGGACTGTTAGCCACATTTACATACTTTATATACTTTATAAATAAAATGGATAAATATTTCTATTTAAAGACACAGTTATAGAGTAGTCCAAGATGTTGCACTAATCAATCCAAACATCTTTGGATCAAGCTTCTACGAAATGACAAGCGTCTAGACCACCCTGCATAAATAAACAACTAAAGCAAGTTTTAAGCATTAAATTCTAGGAAAGATCTTTCTATTTCTTCCAACAGGTACTCCCTGAAATAGTTGGAATGAGTTCTTTTGAATCCCATTTTTATATTAGTAGCTTTTGGAGGTCAAGCTCCTAATTCATAAAGAAAATTTGTTGAGAAATCTAACAAAATAATGAAAAATTAGAACTATTGCATCGGATGGCAACTGCAGTTTAGTAGTCATCTGAACTTTTGCAGTCCAAATCTAGTAGCCCTAGAAAAACTTCACTACAATAGCTTAAAAAATTTTAGAGGCTCAAATTAAGTTTTAAACTTCTCTCCCCCAACTCTGAACGTGCAGTACTTACCGTCTCTCTGATTTCTTTTTTAATGTGCACCCAGGAGACACTCTTTTCTCTTTCCCCTGCTATTTATTCCCTTTCCTCCTCCTATCTGGAGCTGTTTCTGTGCTCTGCATCTTCCTTAGCTTGTCCATCAGTGACAAAACCTGACATATCAGTGGGCAGGCACTGTACCCTGTCTTGACTCTTGCCTAAACAGTTGTTCAGAAAGTTCCCTAGCTGGAGACTTTGATGTGATTTCTTCTCCTACAACATGAAGCTGTACTAGAAATGCATGAAGAAAGGAGTGCGGCACTCCATACAGTAAATGAGATGGGAAACAGGGTGTACACTGGAAAGTTCTTTATGAAATGTCTCAATGTTTTTATACAGGAAAAATCAAGAAAATGTGGGTGCTTTAATTTCTTGATACGGATAGTTTCTTATAAAAGGCCAAGTTCTGCAATTAATTTCTATAAACAAAAGTAACTGTTGATAGCTCTGAAAATGATCACAATTTCATATTCTTACATTAAATATCTGCACTTAAATTATTTGAGTTATTTCAGGTTAGGTCATTCCTTTCTGCATAATATCAAGTACAGAACAAAATACTGCACTCCACTTATTGAAGGGAAAATTGCATTGTTTTTCATTTTAGAGCTATCCTATAGAAACAAGGTAACTAGTATTTCAAATATTATATAATGTATTCTATATGACCCCCCCCATTAGCTAAAATATTTTATCAAGCTATTCCTAGACCAGCCTTCTCCGATCTTTTACTTTTCAGATATAGTAGACTAATCACTCCCAGCCAACAAGCAACTGATATTTTGAGTGAAAATGGTGAGAACTGTATAGTCTAGCACATCAGGTTGGTAAAGGCTGTCTTAGATGTATTAAGATAATTAATTCCTCTGGCACCTATATGTAGTATGTATGTATGTATGTATGTATGTATGTATGTATGTATGTATGTATGTAGAGGAGGAGAAATTTGTACCATGATCAGAAATATAATCATGTTTTTGTCTTATTTGATGGGAAACTTGTCTAGGACAACCTCTTGACTTGGACTGTATACTCACAGTGTTATGAATACCACTTGAAGAGTGATTCTTTTTTCTCTCTTCCTCTTCCTTTACCCCTCTCCCTTCTCCACTTTATGTAGTCCTGGACACACAACATCCAGCGAGAGAAGGAATTCCTACGAAAATTGGTAAAAGCTCGAGTAATCACGGACCTCACCAGTGGTATCTGAAGAAAAAGCTCAGCAACTGTGCCGGAGAGCACAGCCAGGTGTATCCAGCTAAGGACAAGGGCAGCAAGAGGTGTTTAGCAAGAATCCCAGCTTCTAAAAGATGCCCTTGGATTCTCTCCCTGGCTTGCTTTGTCTGCCTATGCCAGGGCCAGCAGGAGAACAGCAGCTCTTGATTTAAGAGGGCTGGGCCCTCATTTGGAACTGGAGATAAAACATCAGAGGAGAGAAGAGAAATAGGCTTGTGAAACAAAATAAATTTGTGCCAAGTGGGAACAGGAGCCAGGCCAGAGGCCACAGTGTTTGAATGTATAAGGCATTATTTTTTTAATAGCAAGAGACAAATATTACCATAAATATATCAATGGGCACAGTGGAGCCTAGCCTTTGAACAAGCCTGGTGGGATGCTTTCATTAGTACTGCATTTAGCCTGTCCTTGGGCCAGCTATGGCCCCTCTGCAGGGTCTCGGTTCATCCAAGGTTTGTCTATTGTTGGTGCTGCTATAATGTCAAAGTATTGTGATCTCTCTTTGCTCTAGATGGAGCAAATTAAAATTCTGTTAGATCTTCAGACTTCCTGCTCCTTGGGGGGCTTCCACTGCTGCCGCTGTTCATCTGGCTGCATTTTTAGACTGTTCGTGAAGTTCACCTCATTATGTTGGACAAACTTAACCTACTTTGCAGGTTCATCATAGATTCTGCTGGCAGATAACCCAGTATTTGTTTCCACTAGCATCCATATCATGCTTCTGAACAGCATGACACTTTTTCTGTTCTTGTTACTTTGGAGAAGGAATAATTTATTTTTGGATAAGGACCAAACCGTCCCAAAATATGAAGATTTATCAGTGTTTATGGAGATTTTTCATTAATTCTACTATACTTAGTTTAGGAGAATACCTTGCTCATGTGTAGATTTTTCTGTGTGCTGTGATAAGAGATGACATCTCCCTTGTTTTTCAGCTTCCATATATCCGGGTTTTTTTCCCCCCAGATGGTTTTTATTTCCCTCTGTATTCTTTTTAATAATAGCAGGGACTCTTTGTTACATCTCTGCTCTATCTTTCTGATGCAGTATTTGCACAATTATGTATTATCTGTATTGGTAAAATTCTAAATATGTGTATGAGATCCAGCGATGAATTTAATTTAATTAACATACCTTTCCTTATATGGGGAGGATATAAGAATCTGGCAACTCTTCCCATGAAGATCAAGCTGAAGAATTCTCATCCTGTGTAGGTCAAGGGCACAGCTTGCATTCAGTAGTCTGAATATGCATTTTGCTTGCTCAGTGCCCTAAAATAGGAGGTTCTTAACAGGACACTTTGTTTTTTGCCAAATAAGCAAAGTTGAGGCAGTGGCTCAACTATTCCCATAATTATTTTTAGAGATGGTGAGAAACAGAAAAAGTGCAACTCTGTAATAATGCAAATAGTGATGTAAAATATCCTGCACAATCACTTTAGTAATAAGTCTTTTCAGAAGACTACAATATTGGCCTGTCTGAGTAATCTGGCAAATGTTACACCAAAATGTGTAGTTTTCATTGAACATACTGAACAATGTCCACTTGAATAGTGGAGGATGACTGCTTTATTTGTTGGCCTTCATAGTCTTGACAGATCCTTTCTAACCAGTTGTTTTAGTTATATGGAACTTCCTGATTCAGAGGAGAAATATTTAAAAATATCAGAAGCTAAAAAGCAATGGCATTATTTGTTACTATTGCTACGCCATGCATGTATGTCTCTTGGAACAACTGGCTGATTATTGAGGGACGGACGGTGCTGGTCTAGTTGTGCTTTTGATCTAATTTGATAGAGCTTTTCTTATCTCCTCAATCTTATGAATGCAGGTGAATATCTTTGAATTTCTCTATTCTCTATTTATGTGCTGTGCACATGTTCTTCTGAAGGAGGATAAGCATAGAAATATCAATTGTTTGGATTAAATCAGCAAAAGTTGGAATGGGTTTCACAGCCTGCAGAATATAGCATACATCTAAAAAATTAGTTTTTCCCAAAATAATTACTTTTATAATGGGGATAATCACTTCAATGACAATGGAGATAAATTTATTTTGTTTTTCAATCTCCCTTTTGGAAGGAAGGGATCAGCTTAAATTGAGGACTGTTTTTCTTTTGTATAAATATAGTACTTGAGTCATGGAGTGTTTGGATGGAGCCAGTTGCAGAACTTGTATCAGTGTATATGTTTTTTGGTTTACATGTTTTTTTCTATGTCTTTTTCTCATTGGATGTTGTGAGTCCAGGATTCCACACTTGTCGGCAACTAAACATACATGTTGCAAATGGTTAGGATGGTTTTTGTCCTATAGAAAAACCATGGTCCTATATCAAGCTGCATTTTGGTTGGAAGGTTAACTGTTAGGGAGGATTTGTTGAAGAAATGTAGAAGAAAAGGACATACATATATATACACAAGGAAAACCTAAAAATATGATAGATGATAGACAGACAGACAGACAGACGACAGATGATACTAATAAAGAAGATTATTTGTAGCTTGAGATTGACATGAGGGGTCCTTGGTGCTTTGCAGACATTTTAGTACACAAACTTGTAACATCATCAGATACTAGCACTTATGACGTTACCTAATTTGGGTAATGAAACTTCTGCAAGAAAACAAGCAAGCTCAGAGAGCACCAAGGACCCCCTCAGATAGATGATAGTCTGACCTCTAGGTGGAACCAAGTAACATAAACGAATTGCTGAAAGAAGGCTCAAGGGCCATTACACCTCAGTCTCAAACTGAGTGTGTTATCCCAAATCATCCTCACTAAATGGAAAAACAAGACACCAGTCTTGCACACCTTATAATTGGGTAGCTTGTCACCTAGTCTTCACCTGCTGAAACTTGCTCTTTACGTAAGGATTTAGGAACCTATTCTCTTTTGCATTTGGCCATTGCATCAAGTACCCAAGTGCAGTATGGCTCACTTTTGGTGGGTGGAAGGCGGGGAGCTGCTTGTATACATTATTACATTTTTTAGTTGTTAATAAAAGTATATTTCTACGGTAACAAATGTATATAGGACTGCCATCCCCATTACTTATTTGATTTCATTTTTTTTTTAAGGTTTGGGCTTTCATTTTTAACTTAAAGTATCAGAACCAGTTGAGATTCTTCCTAAGACAATCAACAGCACATATGAATTTCATTGTATATAATTTAAGGCTAGACCTTTATTTGTTTTCTGTTTCTCAGTGGCATTCATTTATCAACTAGGTCAGGATACTACACTTCAAGCATATCTGTTTTGGATGATTCTTACAAGCCTTTTTACTGTTTTGAATTTATCTCATTTAATGCACTTCCATTGTAATATTTCCAACTCCAGTTATTGCCAAGGTCTGTCTAAAACATGAAAAATATCTGTGCAAAAAACTTTTTTTAACCTCTATGGTTATTTCTGTTTTTTGAAATTGGTTCACTAGAGTGAAAATAGTAAGACTAAATGCAAGAAGTATTTCACAACCCAATACTCTGACCTCATCTGACACTTTACTTGAATCGCTTCCTGCAACTGGCTTTGCAATATGTCCTCCAGAAAAATTGAAAGTAGACAGAACTGACAAAGCATTTCATTCACATTTCATTCAAATTTCCAAGAGAGTTTAATGGAAGTTTCTGAAAAAAATATATAAAATTCTTATTGCAAACAAAGTGAATATAAAGTGCTTGTCTTCTTGCAGATCTAAAGAGAGAACAACTCAGCACAAAGTTGGGCTTATCTTGCTCAAATGTATCCCTCAATTTCTTCCTGTACTATAGATGCATTCAACTAGGAATGAAAAGTTGCAGTGGAGGAAGGTGAGACTGTTACTTGCCTAAACCTTGCCTGATTCAACTAAACCCCTGGAAGCAGAGGTGGTATTCATCAGGTTCTGACCAGTTCTGGAGAACCGGTAGCGGAAATTTTGAGTAGTTCGGAGAACCGGCAAATACCACCTCTGACCGGAGATTTTACAGTATCCTTCCCCTGCCACACTCACAAGCCACGCCCACAGAACCGGTAGTAAAAAAAAATTGAATCCCACCACTGCCTAGAAGCATACCCCAGAAAACAAAGGCCAATGGGGAAAAAAAACATAAATGTGGTAGGATTTCCTCCTTGGTTTTTATTTGATGTCAAAATAACAGGACATCACAATTTGACTTCTAATACAAGTTTGCAACTACATGTAGTGCTCCAGCATCCTGAGATTGCAGCATTGAAATCTGGCAGCAAAATAGCTGATATGTTGGTAGAAAAATTTTAATCCGTTTTTGGACATCATCTGAGGGTAAAAATGGGAGTACTTTTCGTCTGGAAACTTCCCACATCTGTTGGATCTTTGCAGCATTCAGGTCCAATGGCATTTAGCAGTGAGAAACTCAGCACCTCCAATCAGATGTATAGCTAGTCATTAGAGGAAAATGCTAATTAATGCGCAATTTCCCCTTTTCTTTCAGAAGAGGCATTATATTAGATGGAGTTTGTGAGTTAATAAATCCAAAGGGACATCATTGAACATAGTAGTAGTCATCAAACTTGTATGTAATTGGTACTTGTCACATGGATATGGATCATAGGAGCAGGACAAGTCATAAGAAAGGGGTAGAAGATGTGTATCCTATTCCTACTGCTACTAGTTCCATAAAGTATACTTAGTCCTATAATTCCAAGTCTCCTCATCTCTATCAGAGACTTTAAACTTGAAGGAAGATGAACAAGGAAGAAAAGCACTGCTTTCATAGCTCAATCAGTCAACAGGAGAATATTTTTTTAAGCATGCAAGTCATCTTCAAATAGATCTAAATTCTCAATATTTTGATTAAGAGGAAGGGAATCTGTCACAAGAAGAAACTGAAAAACCTTCTAACCAAAATATCCCTTTCTACCTATTTTCTTTTCTTTAGGTAAAGACAATCCATATTTCATCCACCGGTAGGATAAGCTAAATTTAAAAGCAATACATAACTTGTGTAAAAGGCAAAACCCGCCCTACCCCACGCATATGTGTGTGAGTCTCCCACACATGCCCCTTGCACATTCGCCCCGCCCCATGGGCATGCACGGCAGAAACCCAAAGACCAGCTGGCTGGTGAGAAGCATGCGCACACATGCATGGCACAGCTGAGCTGGGGCGACGGCTTGCTTGCCACCTCTGGTATGTGTGCCATAGGTTCGCCATCACGGCTCTATGTAAACAGTTGGAGCTCTGCAGTCCTATGCCATCATAAGTTAATTCAAAGGCAGAAGTAATGGTAAGAGGTCCAACCCTAATTCCTGCAGATATGTATAAAACATTGTGTTTATGACGGCAGTCTTCAATTGGCATTGAATTCTAGAAATGTGGAGTTGGAAGGAAGCATCTTTTTAATCCTCCACAATGTACAAGAAAACCAAAGCTTTGAATGTTGGCTGTCCAGTTTCGTCCCAAAACCCTCCAAAGAGAGAGAACACAACCTTTCAACTGTTGGACAGTTCTTAATATCAGGAAGTTTTTCCTTATATTTAAATGAAAGCTAGAGTTCTGCAACTTATATCCATTGTTTCTGGTCTAGGTTTTGTGGCAATGGAAAAGCACATTCAATATCAAGACAGTAGTGGTTAATAATCATGTCAAAAGAAATACCTGACATTGGTTCTGGAAAAGGGATATGTTATTAATACTGCATGATTAACCTGTGCGATTCATTACCACAATATGTTTTGATAGTTACAAATTTGGATGGGTTTCAAGGAGATTGAATACATCTAGGAGGCATCTGATTGGTCACACTGAAAAACAAAAACCAGACTGCTCTAATATTCTTAAGACACTATATGACAATGAAGTAAGCTAGCATAACTTTGAATGAGGTCATGGTATTGATTGTGATACTGGAAACCAAACTCTGGAGACCAAATACAAAAAATAAAGTCTGAAAATCTAAGTTATAATCTTTCTTTATGACCTGCAAGCAATTAACTGATCAGTGCTGATTAGCTTCTCAGAATAAGTATTCCAGCAAAATCTTAACAGGAAAGAAAAGAGAGTAACTTAACTATAGTGGTACCTTGATACTCAACTGCTTTGAAACACATCAAATTTGGTCGTCAATACACAAGCTAGAACTTGTCAGTGTTGACTGTCTTGTGACTCAGCAACATTATTCCTTATCGGGAAAAATTGTTCAGTACTCATCTTTTTAGTACTCATCATGTCTCCTGAAACTAATTAATGATGAGTACCGAGATACCACTATATTATTCAGCATACCTCTACAAAAATGTATGTTTAGTACCAGGAAGTGGTGAAAACAGGAGGAATGACAGGATTGAATCCTGAAATTGATAAAAATAATAAAGGGCTATCTGTTTACTTCCAGGTTAAATCTCAAGGGCCGGATGAATTGCATCCTAGAGTTCTGAAAGAATCAGATAATTGTTTGACTGAATGTTATCTTTCAGTCTTGAAAAATCTGGAGAGTTTTAAAATGTTATCTAATTAGATGAGAATAAATACCATGATCTTTAGAAATTGGGGAAAAGAAGACAAGCAAAGTATAGATCAATCACGCTGATCTGGGAAGATTCTAGAGGAGGTTATAAATGGATCCATTTGTAAGCACTTGAAAAGTGTAGTAATGTTATCAATAAGTCTTGATACACAAAGTTTACATTTTTATTGACTTCCTCAACATATTGTGAGAATGCTATGGACATGTTTTTATTTCAGCCAAGCAAAACATCCTCTGACATGTTGTATACATATTGCA